ATATTCTTCGCAATATAGAATATTAGAATATATTATCAGATTTAGATTGACTCTTATTCGCCATTCTCAACGTATTAATTATAATATTTTTAAATTATTTTTTTATATATTTGTGATATATTTGTACTCTAAAAAGTAAATTATATCCGAAAAAATTTATATCATAAAAATTAAAAATTTAAACCATGTTCAAAAAAGGATACTCAAAAATTTAAATCTTTTTATGTAATAATAATATATTACCATGAAAAGTAACTGATATGTTACGTCCAAGCCTCAGGATTCTTTATTTAGAGGGAAGTATCCGGGGTAAGGAGGAGGCTTCGGAAGAACGTAACTGACGCCGCTCTGTCTCTCGATCGTGTCAGTTACGGAGCGTCACGAGAGACAGTCGAACGCGCTTGAAGGGCCCGAAATTAGGTCAGTGTGCCACATGTGGCACACTATAACTCTATTCGAGCCGCGCGTCCGTCGGTCCCTCTAATTTAGGCCAAGGAACTCAATCCTTATAGCCTGGGATATGGACTGAGTGCGACACTGAGGCAACGGTTGGGAATGCGGAGGAAAGTTTAAATTAAATCGGACACTTTAATATAGATTAAGTACTAAGATCTATTATTTATTTTTAAAATCTTGAGTAACATAATAAGGTTATAATTGGTTGAATTACAGGTTCTTGTATTATTCTTTGGAATACATTAGTTATGTGTATATACAGGGTGTCAATTAAGTCCCGGGACGGCTGAATATTTTCTCATGTAAGGTATTTTTGAAAAAGGTCAAGGTCATTTCTGAAGTAATTTTCAACGAGGAATTCAACGGTGACCTTCAATTCGACCTTGAGCTTGACCTTCAAGGCATTTCAAGGTTAGGTTAGGTTTTTTAAATAGATACCCCCTTTTTTGACACCTGGCAATCGAAAGAGCGGGAAATTTTACGTTTAGATATGTACTAAGTCGTAGGTAGTGTTTGATCTTGAGGGTCACTCTAAGGTCATTTAAACTCGAGCAAGGTCTGGATATCTTTTGGAATAGATGGTTTTCAATTTTTTTTTTAACGACCAAAACTAATAACTTTAACAAGGCGTATTTAGTAGTGACCTAGAGCATGACATTGAAGATGACCTTCAAGGTTGTTTCAAGGTCAACTTTTTTTATTTACTTATAGCATTACCCAGGAATAACGACGTGGATGTAGTAAAATCTATTCCCTTTGGGGTGCTTGATTAGCGTGAGTTCCCTCGCCTCTCACGTCCGGACGAGTCCCCTCGCCTCTCACGTCTGGGGTGCTTGATTAGCGTGTTCTCTTTCAAGATTCGAAGTTTAGCGCAGATGTTCAAACTGCAAACCTTGAGCTTCTTGACAAAAAGCTATGCGGTTGTAAAAATGAGATACAGCATTACGAATTATCACTCTATCAATTAAAGCGGCCTCTTGCATAATCCGATTCCGCAGTTCATCTAAGTTTTGTGGTTGAGTGGCGTATACTTTACTCTTTAAGTAACCCCAAAGAAAATAATCAAGAGGCGTCAGATCAGGGGATCTAGCAGGCCACTCGATTTCACCTCTTCTTCCAATCCACCTATGAGGAAACTGAGTATCTAAATACGCTCGAACGTCCCTACCGTAATGAGCGGCTGCTCCGTCCTGCTGAAACCATGTATCATCATAATTATTACCTGCTATTTCTCTTATTCTTGGTATAATTTGATTTCTGAGCAGCTGTTCATACATACCGGCATTGAGATTACCATCAATAAAAAAAGGGCCTATAAGTGTATCATTCAAGATGCCAGCCCAAACATTTAGCTTTTGTGGATATTGTGTGTGACTGTCCAACATCCAAGCAGGATTTGTTTCGGACCAGTATCTGCAATTGTGTCTATTCACTTCACCTTTTAAAGTGAAAGTAGCTTCATCTGAAAAAACTATATTGTACAAAAACAGAGGATCTTTATCGATTCTGTTCATCATCGTTTCGCTAAATTCGATTCGACGATCAGGATCATCTTCATTAAGCTCCTGTACCAAATGAATCTTGTAAGGATGAAAATGTATGCTTTTCAAAACTTTACGTACTGTTTCATGAGAAACGTCATGCTCATTACCGGCTCTACGTAGACTAAGATGCGGGTTTTCAACAAATGCTTGAGCAATTTCAATCTGTTTCTCCTCAGATGCTACAGATTTTGGCCGACCAGTTCTCTCAAGGTCCTTGACAGTCCCATTATCCATAAAGCGCCGTACAGTCCTTTCGACTGTAGATTTTGAGACAGGACTTAACCCGTCTCCATTACGAAAAATGCGATTAAATAGCACCCGAACTTCATTATAAGATCGCACTCGATCTCCCCAACCACGCATCATTAATAGAGATACCCTCTCTTGCTCCGAAAGTTTAGCATACGCCATAATGTTTAATGTCGTGTGTAAATCGTAAATCGTAGTTGAGTGGTAGATGACAATACATCAACAGTTATCGTACACACAAATACGTGTTATGACGAGTAAACTCGCCACTGTGCATACGGTGACAACTTCGTTTGGACGAGTTAACTCGGAATTTTGCCCAGGTTGTTTAACATAATGCTAACTCATTTTTTTATTGATTGGGAGCGTTTACGTCGATGTACGATAAATGTTGATGTATTGTCATCTACCACTCAACTACGATTTACGATTTACACACGACATTAAACATTATGGCGTATGCTAAACTTTCGGAGCAAGAGAGGGTATCTCTATTAATGATGCGTGGTTGGGGAGATCGAGTGCGATCTTATAATGAAGTTCGGGTGCTATTTAATCGCACTTTTCGTAACGGAGACGGGTTAAGTCCTGTCTCAAAATCTACAGTCGAAAGGACTGTACGGCGCTTTATGGATAATGGGATTGTCAAGGACCTTGAGAGAACTGGTCGGCCAAAATCTGTAGCATCTGAGGAGAAACAGATTGAAATTGCTCAAGCATTTGTTGAAAACCCGCATCTTAGTCTACGTAGAGCCGGTAATGAGCATGACGTTTCTCATGAAACAGTACGTAAAGTTTTGAAAAGCATACATTTTCATCCTTACAAGATTCATTTGGTACAGGAGCTTAATGAAGATGATCCTGATCGTCGGATCGAATTTAGCGAAACGATGATGAACAGAATCGATGAAGATCCTCTTTTTTTGTACAATATAGTTTCTTCAGATGAATCTACTTTCACTTTAAAAGGTGAAGTGAATAGACACAATTGCAGATACTGGTCCGAAACAAATCCTGCTTGGATGTTGGACAGTCACACACAATATCCACAAAAGCTAAATGTTTGGGCTGGCATCTTGAATGATACACTTGTAGGCCCTTTTTTATTGATGGTAATCTCAATGCCGGTATGTATGAACAGCTGCTCAGAAATCAAACTATACCAAGAATAAGAGAAATAGCAGGTAATAATTATGATGATACATGGTTTCAACAG